GGAAGGAGCAGTTAATTGGAAGAACTGTAGATTTTGACCAGTTAATTGAATAATCTGAAACTCTTGAAAACCAGTTTATTAGAGTAATTACCCCAGAAAGGTTGGTTTGTGAGTTTTGGAGAAAAAGCAACACATCATCCGCATAGAGACTGATTTTATGTTCTACGTTCTTACATTTTATGCCCTTAATTGTTGTAGCCTGTCTAAATGCTGCTGCTAGTGGTTCGATGAAAATTGCAAAAAGTGAAGGGGAGAGTGGACATCCCTGTCTGGTGCCCCTTGGGAGACAGAAGCTGGAGGATGTCTGGTCATTTGTTCTGACACAAGCTGTTGGGGAATTATATAATATTCTTAGCCAGTTTATGAAAGAGAAAGAGCTTGGAAAATATGCCTTAATTATCACATCTCGAGCACTATGCTTGAGGTCTTTATGAAATGTGCTGTGAGTAGCTTTCACCATATTTGTATTCAAGTGTTGAGAAAAGAGGATTTTACCATCAGTGTTATTTTTTTTGGTCTCTTTGAAGTTGCACCGTGACCTCCTGAAGTGTTTTAGTCGTTTGCTAGATTTAGAAACGTGGTGACTTTAGCTAGTCTTGAAATAACTTTGTCTACACTGTTTTTACTTACATTTTTCACTAACATATATTAAAATAATTTATAGGAAAATATGTTGCTCTCCTCGGAGTTGTTATTATACCTATTCCCTTTAGTTCAGCCTGAAATAACTTAGCTTTCAGAAAAAACTTCTGTGATCTTCACAGGGTGAACTTGCTGATGTTTGTTAGCCCACAGGAGAGCCCTGGCTGACCAGCCAAATGTTAAAAAAGAAAATGCCCACATAGTTTGTGTTTCCTTCACACTGAGTAAATACACAAAAATAATAATTTTAACAATGTAACGTTGGACTTTAATGCACAATAAGGTAAGTTTAGGTGGTTCCGCCCCCTTAAGAAATATTGTGTAACCTTAAATCAAGCACAGTGTGACAGCCGGCCTTTTTAGCGCCTCTTACTGGCAGATGAGGTGACCTGATGGAGCAGCGGCGAGACAGTTGTTATTATTGTGAAGAAGTTATCGAAATAAACTGTAATGCTCGTGGTCACAGAGACTTAAAACTGTACGAATAGGCCTACATTCCCTCTTAAGCCATGCTCTTTCTTTGCTGTTGCACAGACTTTGAGTCATGGCTTCTACGTCGTATCTTTGATTTTACGGAGCAAATACGCAGTGGGAGTTACATTTGTGACAGGTCTGTCTGTTCTATTAATGGTTGATATGTTTTAACTTCAGTAAAGTGAAAGATATGCGATACTGTCAATTAAATGTGAGTAAGGCTATGATCGGTTGAAGTATGTAATCGCAGTGACAGAACTGATGCTACTGCTTTCTACGGTTTGCAACTGATTTACGTGAACGCCGCATACGCCGAGACGTATGACGTACTGAGTGTGCGACGTTTGCGGTTCGCAGTTGCTTGACATTTCCAGGGCTTACTGTGCTGCAGTCTCAACGTCCCTTTCTTCATACTTGTGGTGTTTTCGTGTGTGTTGCAGTTACCGGGCTGTCATGGAGCGCTGGCGGGGCAGAGTGGCTCTGGTGACCGGAGCCTCGGTCGGGATTGGGGCGGCTATAGCCGTAGAGTTAGTCCGGCTCGGCATGAAAGTGGTGGGCTGTGCCAGGGACGTCGGAAAGATTCAGGTTTGCTCTGATATAGAAACTCAAACTTTCTGCAAAGAGTAAAGAGAACAGGACAAATCAACAATTGACAATGACTAATTAATATTAAAATCTGTGACATAATGTATTGTTTGGAGTTTGGAGTAGTCTGTTACTGTTACTATTTTTACCAATTCTTCTTGGAGCAACTGTAACCCACATAATTTCCTTAGGGATTAATAAAGTATTCTGATTCTGATTGTTTCAGGATACGTTTCTCCTCCTCTTCTTTTCTCTTTTTTTTTCTAAACTGAGCACCTGATGGCTTTGAACTGTTCTTGTCCATCTTGGTTTTAATTTTGCACTCCAGTATGAACACCCATCCCCCAACTCGAGGATCACCACAACATAACTTAATAAACCTACACCTTAGTTCACAGATTCACTTTTGTCTAGGGTTTATTTCTGGGATTTCACACAACCCAGTATTCAAATCATGAATACATAATGGCCTTGGATTTACAGCATTATGAATAAAATGTGCTCTATTTGGAAGCAGCCAGCCCCCTCACCTTTTGATGTGTTGTGTGTGAAACTTGAAATCATCAAACTGTAAATTATACATTTTAAATTGTTATTGATCCCTTTACCCCTAGTCTTAAGTGTATATTTATGTTCTTACTCTTCTTATATTTATTGTTTGTTTACTTGCACTTTTGTAACTGGAGCCTCGTCGTCTCGTCTCTCTATATACTGGACTCTAAAAATTACTTAAAAATGACTCTAAAAATTAGACTTAAAAACTCCTTTGTCCCACACGCCATCAGACTGTTTAACTCCTCTCTGGAGGGGAGAGGGAGGGGAAACAGGAGGACAAA